CTTTTCACTCGTTTCTAGGGAGGAATGAAAATAACCCCTCCGCCGATGAAATCAGAATAGTTAACAAGGACTTTGAATCCCAGAGGCTCAAACTCCCTCCTCTAGTTCTGGCAAATTCTTGCAGCGTTGGCTTCTGAGTGGAACGCTTGGCTTTCCCTCGGAGTCAGTACCAACTCCTCTCACTGGGAGGAAACAGAACCACTCCAACTGGCTGCAAACCGTACCCCATTTCCCCTTTATTTAGGCAGAAATTCTGTCAATGAACGGTGTGAAATCCTTCAGAATCTGTCAGGATGAAACGGATCTCACACTAAGTCAAACTGCTAACTCAGGATGGTGACACGAATTGACTGCATGGAACCTGATCCGTGTTGAAAGCAGGGCCTCTTCTGAATTAATTCACCATATCTGGCTCCTCTAGCAGGGATGCTCCTGGCCTCTCATTTTCATCGTAGATCAGCGTATTCTCCCAGACAGCGCATTCTAGGAGGGGGACCAGGCAGGCAGGCCCACATCCCCGGGTACTTTCCACCGTATCCTGCAGGGCAGGTGATAAGCGTTATCTCCTTTCTAAGAGCTGTGCAGAAACATTGATGGCTGGGAAAGCAGGCCCTCGCAGAAAGCTGATTTCTTGACGGCTAGAGGGTTTTAATCACTAATGAATGGAGGAGAGACAGACGAGGCACCAGGGAAAACCTCCAGTCGTCAGAAAGGAAATGATTTCAAATATATTCATAGAGGGTGGGGAGAACTGACCCAGTTTATTACGAGATTAAAAAAAAAAAAAATCCTTTTGTGCAAAGGAATTATTCCAAGCTTTTCTTTCTGTCCAATAAAAATAATAAAAAGAATGAAACCAAACCCCTGAAACTTGGAGCAGTTCAGGGCTACAAAGGCAATTTCGTTCACTGAGTAGCCTAGGCCAAAGAAGAAAAAATATTTTTTTTATTGGAGTATAACTGCTTTACAATGTTGCATTAGCTTCTGCTGTACAACCAAGTGAATCAGCTATATGTACACATATATCCCCTCCCTCCCACCTATCTAGGTCTTCACAGAGCACCGAGATATAGCTCCCTGTGCTATACAGTGGATTGACATATATTCATTTGGTTTTACCCTAAAGTGCTGTTTTTTCTGTCGTCATAGGCACTCGGCACTCCTGAAATTTCCTTGAACTAACTGTACCAGAGAGAAGAGTAGAGTTTCTGAGCTGCCGGTCCCCGAAGGGTAGGAAGGCACTGAGCGTGATGTTTAGAGAAAGTCTCGTGTGAACGGGCCTTACTGGTGCTGATGTGAATTACCAGGAGGTACCATGAGATCTATCTGCCCCCAAATCTCAGCCTCTCCTGAGCACTGATTCTGTTTCTATTGAGCACAAATGTCTGTAGTGGTCCCCAAGCCTAGTTGCATATCAAATCACCTAGGGAACTTAGTTCAAAATATAGGTGTTTGGGGCACTCCCCAGGTGCAGAGAATGGGAATTTCTGGGTAGGACGTGGCAATCTGTAATGATCTGGCTGGCTGGGGGATCCTGATCCCGCAGGTCTGTCCCCTGGCTCCTGGGAATCACCCGATGGGTCACAAACCATCGCCCTGTGTGTCTCTGCTGCCCGCCCCCCACCCCGCCAAGATCTCACGTCGGCATCACTGCCCGCTCGTAGAAAACAAGGTCAATGGACAGTCTTCCCACAAGCCCACTGTCTCCCGGCGGATTCTGGGGGCCTCCCTCAGCCCTCCGCCACTCACACATTATCCTGGGTTTGTTTATCAGATTGCAGACTGTCATTTTAGAAAACGTATAGGGAATCAGGAGGCATGTTGCCAGGAGTTAGTGTTATGGAGTCCAAGCTCGCTCTGCTCGCCACACGACAGGCCAATAAATCGGGAGACGAGGTGCTGAGGCAGGAATACGACTTTATTCGGAAAGCTGGCAGACTGAGAAGATGGCAGACTAAAGTCTCGAAAGAACCATCCTATAGGGGTTTTGATGCCAGTTTCTTTTATAGCACAGAGAGGGGGAGGGGTGAGGAAGTAAAGTAAAAGGGCCGTAAGTTTTGTAAATATCCCCTGGAATGGCCAGCCTCGGGCAGGCCGTGTGTTAATTTCTTCTGTCTTGCAGCCGTGCACAGGCGGACAGGGGCCGGATGTTGCCCTGAACAAAGGCACTTTGGTTTAATATCTAGGCAGAGGGGCAGGGTTCCCTGAGGCGGACCCTTATGTATAGACAGGATCCTTTTAGTGAACCAAAGCAGCGGAAAGCAAAGGTTAAAGTAAAAGAAACAGATCCAATATGGAGTCAGATTTAGCTCTTCCCTGTAACATTAGGAGAGGAGGACTGTGAAGAGAGGGTGAGAGACATCAAAAGGCAGGTCCTGGCATGGAGCACCCCCAGGCTTCTGGAAAAGCCAAGCAGGTGGACCCAGAGGGGGCACCTCAGCTCTTCGTTCTCCCCTCTCACCCACTCGGCGACCTGCTGGCCCCATCACGTGAGGCCTGTCTGTCCACACGTCTGGCCCATGGAAAAGCCGTCTATGGGGAGCTCCAGATTCACAGGGACGTGGCTCAATCTTGAACTCCATCCTCGCCACTAATGCCTGGGGCAGATCCTGCAGACTCTTGCCTACACCGGGATCTCGTCCGTCCAGACTGGATGGCTCAGATTCTGCATTACCTGGAACCTTCGTTCATCTAAAAACTACGGGCACCTCCACAGGTAAGTCATCACACTCAGGTCTGGGGACCCACAGAGGCAGCAGCGAGTTGCCAGAAGGGA